ATTTCTACTTTCTACCATCAAAATTGGAATAATTTTGACCATCAAAATCACCAAACCAATTTGGGCTGCATGTATATTTATTACCAAAATAATTGATTATAACTAAATAATTTGCTAGCTAGTCTAATTTTACAAATAACATTTGTTATTTTTCAATAACATCAACACTGTACATGTTTTCTATATACTTGATCCATCATTGCAGGATCACATTTGATGATTTGTTCTTACTAACTTGAAACAATTCCTTGTTACATACTTCACATTTTTCAAGTACCAATTATTCAATAATTCTATATGGATTAACCTCTTGGTTCTGTAAGTATATTTACATTGATGTTTTATCAATAGCCTTTTAAAAGCTTTATTTTATAGTCATACTGTGACTGCCATTGCTGAATTTGTCTGTTTATGTCCCTTGTTCTTCCTATTTTAAATAGGTTTTTAACATTATTCAAGCCACTAACTATTAAATATAAATAAATTGGACAATAAGAAAATAAAAATTTTGTTGCAAATTGTAAATTAGCAGACTATCAAATATAAAAGAAATATACCTTGAAAGACATATATATATCCCAGGGTTGGCAAATTGACTGGCCCATTGAGAACTGATGGATTTTGGACTGGTCCATTGCCATTAATAAAATACTAAATATGGTTAAAGTATTGCACTAATGGACCAAATGGACCACACATTTGCCAACCCAGATATATCCAGCCTCATTGTATACAGATATTTCTTTTTCTAATTCATTTCTTAACAAAATTCTAGTCTTGATTGGTAACCTCCTATCAATGTAATCTATAATAATAAAGAATAAATTTATAATAATGATAAAAAAATTTTTTATCCACATTATAAAAGAAAAAGAATACCCACCTTTTTGCTTTTATATATTGGTAGTTTTATCTACCAATTCTAACATTGTTGACAAGTAAACCATTAGGAATCGAATCTGATTTGATTCCCTATAATAATATTATTAATTATTAGTAGTATTTATTTGAAAATAAATGTTTGTAATTATATTGCGAGTGTACAATTAGTGTTCCATGTCACAATTCAAAAAAGGAAACCAAATGGTCATAAAGGTGGTTGCAACCAGCAGTTGCAATCATTTTATATGATGCAAAGGTGGTAGCAACCATTATCAAAAGTTGCAGCCAGTATCCTTATGTACAATCCAGGTTACTTATTTTATGGGCTATTTTTTATGTTCAACACACAGCCTGCTCACTGACTTACAGTTGATTCCACTATCCTACGACCTTCTGTCTAGATAGTCCTAATATTTGACACACAGTCTGGCCTTACCTCGCCTCCTGAAGTACAGTCAAACTTCTTTTATCTTACAACCCACTGTCTGGACAAAAGGTCCTAAGTTATTTGACTAACTATATCTCAAAGGCGTCCCCCTTGAGATGTATCTCAATAATTAAAAGGGTTCCCAACTAATAATTAAAGGTTGGCTAGACCATTAATCATTAGAATCAATCACACTGGGTTTAGTAGTTAAGTACAGCCAAAGACTATTTTATTATATAAAGGGTTATATATATTTATTAGAGTGTTAGGAGTTACTATTGTGTTATTGTTTTCAAGATTGTTATCAACAATATTATTATTAACTTGGTCTAAAACCAAGTGTATTTATACCAGTACAAATAATGTGATTTGTGCTCCAATAATATGCTTATTAATTGATTACTACTTCTAAATAAATATTTACATAAGTAGAAATATGAATATAAAGATCTTTAGTATAACAATAATCCAGTTAATCCAGCAGATTGCAGGATCTAAATAAGAGGTAAAAATTCCAAAAAATAACCAAGGTGTGCAACAATTAATGATTCAATTACACTTCTTATTCTTTTCATTTATTTCTTTAAACATAAAGGTAATTGTGCTAGAGCAGCAACATATACATACATATTATTTATTACATACCAGTATGGAAGAATAATAAGTACACTAATAAAAAATGTTATTTATACATGAATGATGTATGATTGACTTGAGACATAAAAGGTAAATCATAAATGTATACATATGTATTGTTTTTTTTTATTTATTACATATTGGAAAGTACATACTAATAAAAACATTGTATATACATGAATGCTGTATGGTTGACTTGAGACATAAAAGGTAGTCATAAATGTATACATATGTATTATTTTTTTATTTATTGGAAAGTACATACTAATAAAAAATGTTATTTATACATGGATGCTGTATGATTGACTTGAGGCATAAAAGGGTAGTCAATGCGCACATTTTGTTGTTCATCACTATACATGAAGTCGAAATTAAAACCCCAAAGTAGAAATGTTTCAAATTGAGGCAACCACATAGTAAAAATCAGTTTTGACCTTATTTCAACCCTATTTCAACCAGATCTGCAAATGGTCAGAATAATTTTGACTTCATGTATAATCATCACCAAAAAAATTTTTTAGTGAAAAAAAAAATTTATAAAATTTAAAATTTATATTGAATAACTATTTATTCTTTCTTTTTTATTTATCCAATGTTCATATGCTTTTTCAAAATTAAAATCTTGAATATCTAGACCATTTAAGTAAAATCATTAAATTACTATTAAGCATTTTCAAATGAATAAATAGCAATAAAAAATTGTTTTTTTTTATCTAGATTTTTATTGATTTGATTGAATTGAAATATTGAATTTTAAAAACATCAACAATCATCAATGACAAAAAATGGAATTATTCTATATAATAAATAAAAGTATATTTGTTTATTTTTGGTTATTAATAAAAATAGAATTATACCTGAAACCATCAATGATTTATTGTTAACAAAAATGGAATTCTTGTTATCAATAAAAATATAAAAATGGAATTATAGGACCTCAGACAATCATATTTGAACTGGTATGTAAGAAAACATATAAAAGTTGTGAAAAATACTCAGAATATCTTATTAAAAATGGCTAGTGAGTTTCCTTTTTGGGCCATTTTTTTTAAAACCCCAATTTTTATTATGTAAATGCTTGAAGATCTGACTGGTGTTTTAACTATAGATGCTGGTCACAATTCTTGGTGATGGTTGCAACCATATTTGCAACATATAAAAATGGTTTGCAACACCTGGTTGCAACCACCTTTGCAACCACTTTGGTTTCCTTTTTTGGATTGTGACATGGAACACTAGTTTTAACAAGATCACTACCCACTTTTCTCAACACCAGTTCAATTATAATTGTCCAAGGTCCTGGAATATAATAAAATATTAATTAATATATGTATATTAATATAATTTTTTCTTCAATTTGTTACACAAATTTCTGCACAAATCCTGCTACATATGTAAACTTGATAAGTCAGCCAAATTTTCACCCCATTTTCTCAATATTTAGTAATTTAATCCAATAAGCCAGTTTACTTGATAAGTCTGTCATATGAGCTCACCTCCACATGGCTGACTTATCAAGTTTACATATGTAATAGATTATTGGCTACCTTTAATGTAACACACACACCTGCACTCAATTTCACACACTGGATGAAATTAGATGGTTTTGATTGGATACATTTCTAATAAAAGAGAATTTTGCTATTATGGAACTGATCTATCAGAAGAACAAGTTTATAATGCATGCATTCAGGCAACTGTAGATATTGAAAAGGTGATGAAGATGATGAAGGATATATCACTGGATAGGCAAATTAAACTTATCACATGTGAAGGATCTGATGTTGATTTGAATTAATTTTAGACAAGGAAAGTTGTTATTGGCAAAAACATTTTTTCAATCAACCAAGAGAAAATGGGGAAAATGGAGACTACAGTAACACCTCTATATAACGGAATGTTTATCTGGGACATTTATGTTTGTTATAATGAGGTTTTGGTATACAGAATTTATTAGTCAGCAAATTTCGTTATAGAGAATGTTGTACAGATACAGCAGAAAATTTGTACAATATTGACAGAATGAAATAGAGGCAAATGATGAAAGTGATGTGAGAGTTGTGCTGAATGAAATTTATTATTCTTTTTTTTTCATTTCTATTTAACAATCAACGTAAAATAAAATACCATTTATTTTTACACATCATTGATTTTCACAACCTGCAATACTTATTTTTTTGCAATCAATAAAAAAAAGTGACACATCAAAAAAATTAAAAGTATATAGACATTCAGTACTGTACTCTTTTGCAAAAATAGAAATTTTTTTAAAAAAGTCATACATAAGGGTGCAAACATATGAACACTTGAGGGTTACGACATCAGTATGGCATAAACACGGCAATACGTCACTTTTCATATGCCGTATCATGTGCCGAATACCATACCATGTGCCGAATGCCATATCATGTGTTCACTTGCTAAATGATGTATCATCTGCCAAATGACGTAACATATAACCCTAACTTATTATTATCATTATGTCACATCAAAAAAATTTATCAACCGGTTTTTTAAGAATAAAATATCCCAAGTCCATATGACTCAAAATTTCTCAGATAATAAAAAACATTGTTTTTATGATTAATCATTCAACGTTTTTTTCATTATATATATATACTTCTGCAATAATAAAAGAATCATCATCATATCATCAATTAACACTGATAAATTAATTTGAATCAATGAATGAACATGGCCACCATTATCAATGTAACTTCTGATGCAGAGAGTAATGAACATACCTTTTATGAAAGTCCTTCTCCCCAACCTCCTTGTTCACCTACAAAAAAACGAAAAGCAAATAAAGGTGGTCCTAAAAGTGATGAAATCTGGAATTATTATAACAAAGGTCAAGAGAAAAATGATGGCCATTATTCCGCAACATGTTATTATTGTAGTAAAACTTGGGCAAGGGGTAAACCTGCAAAATTGAAAGCACGCCTAGCTAATGAATGCTTGCCTTGTCCACCAGATATTAGTAAATTTTGGAAAGATACACTTGCAACAGAAGTGGTCAATTACTCTCATTCAAAAAAAAATCCTACTACACCTCTTCCTGGTATACAACCATATATAACAGATCATTTTGGTTCAAAAAAACCTCTACCACTTTCTGTTACTGAAAGAATTGATCATGCTTTGTTGAAAGCATGGGTAATAGCTGGAATACCATTTGAAGTCATAGAAAATCCATTTGTTATAGTCCTGTTTAAGGAACTTAACCCAGGATATACACCACCGTCAAGAACAACATTATCTGGTTGGCTTTTGGACCAGGAAGTTGCTAGAGTCAATCTAAACATTGAAAAAGAGTTGGAGTCTTCCAATAATTTAACATTGAGTAAGTTTCTAATTATTTAAAATTCAAATAATTAATGTAATAAATGTGTGGGATTATTTTCAAAATGAATTAATGATTTTAAATAATATTATTTTTTTTTTGCAAAATTTTTTTTTGATTTTACTTGAAGATTTTTTTTATATTATTATATGATTGTAAGAATTAAAAGTAATTATTAATTATTAATTATTTATTTTAGCCTTAGATGGTTAGACTTCTAGAAGAAATGAATTGTTATATTCTCTACACCATCTAGGAAAGAATACTTAATAGCATTAAAAAATTATTCAGGTTTTTCTCACACTGGTAACTTTCTTGCAGATGAAATTTCAGACATTGTAGAACAAATTGGTTCAGATAAATTTGCTGCTATAGTTACTGATGCTGCTCCAGCATGTCATGTTGCATGTGAAAAAATTGAAGAAATGTATCCTCACATTTGGGATATAAGATGTGCTGCACACTCAATAAATTTAATAGCATCAGATCTTGTAAAAATTAATGATATAAAAGAATTTATTACAAAATGTGGAAAAATCACAAAATTTTTTCATAATTCTCACCAAGCATGTTTTAAGTTACATCAAGGATTGCATCAAATGAAAATTAGATCTGAAGGGTTACAAACTTGGGTAAAAACAAGGTGGAGTTCACTTTATATGACAACTGATTCTATTTTATGTGCAGTACCAGTGTTTGATTTGGTATGTTTTTATTTAAGACAATTGTAATTTTAAAATTTTTTATATTCACAATTTTATGTTCATTCATTATTAGATAATTGCTGAAAATAGAGATGTAATTTCAAATGATGAAGTATTGTTTTTATTACAAAATGAAGATTTTCTAACTAAATGCTGCCATATTTGTTCAGTTTGGGGTCCTATTAAAGAATGTATAAACATACTAGAATCAAACACAGCCACCTTGGCAGATTGTTTCATTTACATGATCAAATTAGCTGTTGCAATTTTCAAATTGCCAGACTCAAATCAATTTAAAACTTCTGCAATCCATATATTTAACAATCGTTATATAGAATTTCAACATCCTGCTTATCTATTATGTTATTACATTCATCCATTATACAGAGGTTTGAAATAGTTTACATGGCTCAAATTGTCCTTTATTATTATTTATTTTATAACTTAATTATTAATTTAAAATTAGGTTGTGGTTTTAGAGAGGCAGCATTAATTGCTGTCAAATTGTGGAAAAATTTAAACCATAGTGAACAAGAATGTAATGAATTAATTTCTCAACTACGAAAGTTTGAAGCAAAATTATCTCCTTATGACTTACCATATGTTGAAGAAATGGACACACCTGAACTTTGGTGGGGTTTGATTAAAAATAAATCTGAAATTGCAATCAAATTGTGAAAGAAATTTTTCCACTCTTAAATGGATAATAGGAGGTCACAGAACTAGACTTGCCATACAGAGACTTGAGAATATTTCAAAAATTAGGTCTTACTATTTAACCAACATAAAAGCTGAACTCTTGTACTATGATAAAACATCAACTAGCAATGAGTTAAGAAATGTAGCAAATGATTCATCAGTTGGTGCTTTAATGAGTTTAGAATCAGAAAATGATTATTTAAATAATGTTAATTTAAATGATAATTCAATTCAGACAAGAAACACCTTAATAATTGAAGACATTATTGATTTTAATTTTTTTAATAATAATAATGAAGTAAATGAAAATGAGACTAATTTAGATAATTCTTATAATTTGGACTATGATCCTGAATTATTAGTAAATAATTTTTAGAAAATGATGATAATAATATAGGTAATTAATAAGATTGTTTTTTTCTATATATTAGTTGTTTTTTTAAAGAATAAAAAATTAAGTTTTTAAATCATTTGAAAAAAAATTTGTGTTAATTATTTTCATACGCATATTGGCGTAACGTATGGCATAGAGCACGCTGCATTTACGTTTGCGTATTGCACGCAAGCATTTATGTTTGCATATGGCACAACATACGGCATACGGCACAACATATGACACATGGCATAATATACGGCATACGGCACAAAATATGGCATACGACCATTCGGAATTTAGCTGCAAGGGTTACGACCTTTTCACGTCATATAGGCGTCATAACAATAGGTTACAACTTGGCAATATGTTTGCATCCTTAGTCATACACCAACATACAGTACACAGCACCCCCACCAATCAAATAGATTCTGTACTCGTAACATTTAATACAGAAATGCTGATTTGCAGATCATACAGTACAGGAATGCAAAAGTACTGAATGCCTACTGACTGAAAAATTATGTAGATTGATAAAAATTCCTTCCCAAAAAATTAGGTTTGAAAAACAAAAGTTTTTCCCACTCAGAAATTATTAAGAAATAAAACACACCTTACAGACTTTGGAAGAAGGTAGGTCATGACACGGCAAATAACAAATTTCTTCTTTGTGCTAACTAATAATTAATTAGACACATGTGAAATTCTGTCATTTCTGATCCATGTTAATTATTTATTTAATTTTAAAAATCCTTAGTCAACTACTAGTTGGTCAAAAATTTTTTTAATCAATTAATTAGTTGACTAAATTTTTTTTATAATAATAATATTTCAAAAAAAAATTTTTTTTTGTTAATTTGCAAATTATGAATTCATTTCCATTTGAATCTTTCACTTTTTCAAAGTACTTCCACACAAAACCATGTGTTACGATTCGTTTTTTAAAAGGTCTTCTGGAACCACCACTTAAATCATTGAAATGAACTATTGGACCTTGTATCAGAAAAGTTTAGTCCACATGTAAAATTATCACCACCATTGTCGTCATCATCATATTGATCATATTGATGGTATTGTAAGAAATTTCACTTTTTAATCTTTTGAAATGACCCGTATTAAAAATAATAATAAAAAAATACGAAAACATAATACTATTAAGAAAATTAATTATAAATTATGATGTTATACTAGAATCATAATAGCATAATCATGAACATTCAATTTTTTAACCCGCATATAATCTTCACAATATTATATGACTGTTTATTTACACATCTCTTATTTACGTTAATTAACGTACGTTATTATGCATTAATTATAATTATCATACATATTAATATGTAATCGTGCGTGCAATTATTAAAATTACAATAGCCCAAATAGAGCAAGGATCATCATTATCCGTTATATCAAGATAAATTTATTATAAACGACATATATTAATATGTATTTTTAAAGAAATATCCGGTAAGTCGAATGTATTAGTATATGAAAAATCCGTTAAAACCGTTAAATCAGTTAAATCAAAGATAAAATAATTATAATTGTAAGAAAATTTGGTCTCGAAAATTTTACCTAAATCCGCTAAATCGAGACTCACCGTGGATGATATCATATCTGACCGAATTTACTCAAACGGGTTTAGCTCCAAATCTGTCGACAATCATTGTTGCATTTTTTTTTTTTTTGAGGATGTGCTCAAGCATATACTCTGCCATTAAATCAAAACTATTTACGATGTAAGCTTTAAATATAATTATGTTTGAAGCGTATTTCGAGCAGATATTAAAAACATTAGTGTTTTAAACTCAATTTAGTTACGCCAAATTAGCGTCCCTAGTTTTGTGCAAGGTTCATTATGCATCGATGGAAAGTATGCTAGCTGTAATTGATACAAAAGGAAACCCGACAAACACCGGATAAGCGAATTCATTTTTCAATACTTTTGGTATAAGTTTTATAGTATATTATTATTGCGCAGTACTGTATAATATATGGGTAAAGATTTTTATGTTTTGCATCAATTCCCAACCAAACTTTATAAAAATTCGCATAAACATAAATGAATTAATTTTTATTAGTTGTGTTAAAATATGGCATCTTAAATTGGTTCTAGGTGAAAGTTTTTTGCAAAATTTAATTTGTTTTTTAATTATCAGGCCAAGCAACAGAACATAGAAAAGACCATCCCGAATTTTGTATATCCTTCAGTCCAGACAGACAGATTAAATTTTTCTTTTGATAAAAAGACATTAGAAAATTGTAATGCAATTAAGCGATTGATTGTTATCTAAAATCTGTTTATTCGGTAGCAATGCAGCAAAAAAATGTTACCTTTTTATGCCATACATAGGCGTTCTAAATTAGATATTAACGGAATTTTGCATTTGGTACGTTGACATTACAATTCCTGGAACTGGTTCAAATAATACAATAATGTTCGGAGAAAGATAATTTGGCTTATAACAGTATAAGAACCAGAGATATCTAAACAAAAATTTTATTGACTAATGAAATATGAAAAACAAATGGAGGATTCAAAAAAAGCCAAAAAAAAAAACGATGGGTTAAAGAAGAAAGAGCCACTCACTATAATCAGCAAGTTATAATAAGATTTAGAACATGTCATAATCTTCAGGTAATATGTAGGAATACTTAATATTCAAAATTATAACTGGTGAATTATTATGATCAGGGTTGGGAATCGTACACGTACACATGCACGTATCGTACACGTACACATGCACGTATCGTACACGTACATACGTTATGAGCTTAAAAATTTTTTAGTACATTGTAGTGATTTATGATTGGTTGATCAAATGTAATATATATATGTTAAATTCGTCAACTATTGTCACAGCGAGCTATAATAATAATCAAACCCTTGTCATAACGGATTTTTAAAAATTTTTGCTTCGCACATATCACATGTGGCAAGATTAGTATTAGTATTTAGTAATCTTGCCACAGCGGATTTTAAATAAAATTTGTTTATGTGTACCGTTCATCCTCTGTGGCAAGGTTTGACTATATTGTGGAATTAACTACATACTGTATGTGATTGAAGATATTTAATACTACTATTAATTATTTTGAATTGATAATATAATTAACAAGAATGTAGAGATAATTTTTTTATTTCATTATAAATAAACAGAAAAAAAAATTTAGGAATCACGGTAATAATAATACTACTAATACTAAATAATAATAATGCACCACAGGATAATACAAGTATAATATGATAATCAGGGGTTTTCTGATAACGAAGTAGTATTACGATCTTTAATTATAGTAGTCGTAATAGTAATAGGGCTGACGGCATAATATTATTATAGGATTTTACAAAATAATATTTATCACCACAGAACGTTTGTACAGTGAAATTGCACAACATGACTATAATGATAACGTATATAATACTACTACATAATAACAAGGGGTTTAAATAAGCATATATAACATGGTAATCAGGTTTTTTCTGATAATGAAATAGTATTACGACCCCAGTTACAACATCTGATCATTAATTATAGTAATAGGATTATCGGCTTAATAATAATACTATTATAGGATTTTACAAAGTAATATTTGTCACCACAGAAAATCATCGTTCCTGATACATACATACGTACATATGTAAAATTTCCTCGTACAGGTGTAAGACCACAACGAAGCCGTACGAACTCAATGGTACGAAGTCAGTTGTACGTATATACGTTCGAAGTTTCTCGTACAGCGAAATTGCACAACCCTGATTATGATTATAAAGCGATCGTCACACAATGCCCACAAAATATAAATTTTGACTGTGCCATATATACAAATTAGTATTTTTTGTGAAAATCTGCAGATAGTTCCAAATTTGGTTAAACCGTCTTGACATTTTGTTTAAAATACATTTTGACTTTAGACATATCCTAAAACAATTTTGAACACCCATCTATAGTAAGAAATAAATTCTAAGGCTTGCTATTTCCAGATTTTGACTAACTAAGATATTTAAATTTAAATAAAAGCCATAAATAATCAAATCATTTTTGATAGTTTTTTTAATTATTAGAAAAAAATTAATTTCTTGATTTGTATGTATAAATTAACGGCCCCGTTTTTTTTCCTTGACTGTTATTACAAATTCAAAAATCTCAATTTTATTTTTGATTCGCTTTATCATGTATTATGTTATTGCTTTATTGTTTGTGAAGGGGCGAAGAAATTATCAGGTTACTTTGTATAACCATCCAATCGCTAAGTTCGAACTCTGGAATCAAACGTTCACTTTGTTAGGTTATGCCCACATAATATTGTTTTTATTTTCATAGTCTTAAGTATAAATTAAATTAAATTAATTATATAAACCTAATCTATATTATCTATATTATCTTACATTAAACTTGAACTGAGTTTATATCCATAAATTTATAAGATCTAGGATAAATTTCACTAAAATTAAATAAAATAAAAACAGAAATTTACAAATTGTGTTTGTATTCTTGCAAATGAATTCATTAACCAATCTACAATAATCATAAATCATAAACTTACGCTTGTAATATGCCTATTAATGCTATCAGTGAACACAGTGGAGTTGTAATATTAGTGAAAAAGAAAAATATTCTGCTTACAATCGGTTGATTAAATAATTTAAGATAAAATATTGATAATAGTATCAATGATATACCATAACATAAAAACATATATATACAAGTATAATTTAATATTTTCATCTGAGGAATTGAAGAAATTAAGAAAAATTAGTTGAAGCATCAATTTGATTAGTTAATTGAAGAAGTGATTTAATGATTTTCACAAACCTTTCTTATATTTTGTTTAAGTCTTAAATTTCTCCATTCCAATTTTGATAGTTTTCTTGTTCCATTGTTATTGCTATTGTTACTGTTATTGCTGTTAAAATTATTCCTCTCCTCAATTTCTTTTTTTCCCTCATTTTTTAGTTGTGATTGCTGCTGCTGTTTTTGATTATTCAAATCTTCTAATTCAATATCTTCAATATTATCATTATTACCACATATACTACTATTATTACTGATCCTATCCCTATTACTATTATTATTATTACTATTACTATTATTATTGTCATCATTGTCTAGATCATTGATTCCAATTAAAATACAAGAAGCTTTTGTCAATTGAACTAATTTAAACCCATAATAAGCAGCTGATGCTGCGAATAATAATTGGACTATACCAAAGCCTGACCAATGTAACCCAAATATAATATTTAATAATTCTTTATCATGATTTTGTCTAGTGATTCCGGATATTATAGCTAATGATGGTGAATATATAAAATGAATTATAAAAAATGTCCAATAAATTTTGTTGATATGTGATTCTGGTAATAAGTAGACACCTTTTGTTGGTTGTTGATGCGAAGTAAAATTGTGAAGATACATTTTTAGCAATGCTCTAAAGCTTGAATGGGAATGAGAACGAGAGAAATCAATTAAAATTAAAATAGTGCCTCAATTGATAAATATTATCAGATTCAAAGTTAACTGCAAGTATTAATTTTGAACAACTTGATCAATTGGACATTTAAATATTTTGACACATACATTCCGGCAAGATAAGTTGCAACCGTTAGGTCCGCAGGAATCCAGCTGAAATCATAAATTAATTCTCTGGCGATTGGACTTGAAGCAAATAAATTAAATTGCTGTACAAAATTTGCAAATGCACGTACTAAAACAAAATATGATAATTAAAATAATAATTAATTAATTAATTACAACGATATGACTTTACCTCCACTAAATATTGAAATTCCTAATAAATAGCCTTCTAAAGGCAAAAAAAATCCACTGTTCTTATCCCATAGATGACTATTCCTAACTACTAATCTTATAAATAATAATATTATTCCACCAATTGCAACGCTTAGAAATAATATATTTGATAATATGTAAAGGTTTTTAAGTACTGTATCGTAATTACAATTTGCTATTGAATATTCCCATCTATGTTATAATTTATATAAAGTTTTAATATTAATTAATAAATATTTCAATTGAAATTATTATTATACATACTCGCATTCTAGCAAAGCTGAATCACTATCATTCATCGATAATATCAATTCTCACATTTAATAATAATTATCAAAAGAAAAATTTTTTTCATTTATTATTTATATTAAAAAATTATCTTTTGTGTTTCTTATCCCGTATTTATTCATTCTAAATTAATCAGTTCGAATTTTTTATTTTTTTTATTTTCACGAAAAAACAAAAAACAAATGATCAAAATAATAAACTATCACTACGTGGAGATCATTTATTACCCAATTGGTTGATCAAATATTTTATTGGCTCATAATTGATAGATAAGAGAATTTTTTAATTAAAAGCCATGCACCATTGTTTACTCATTTTTATTTTTTATTTTTATTTTTTTTGAATCTAATTTTTTAGTAAAATAATTGATTATTAATTATAAATATTATTATTATGTAATCAGAATAGTGTAATGTATACGGAACCTGCACTCTTTAGTGTTACACAAACATTCGAAAGAACCACCTTTCATCTTGTAATCTATTGTTAGTTCCTCCATTTTGTCTATATCACGTACTGCAAAAAATGCAATCCTTTGGCTTTTTAA